ATGGTTATTTATTTCTTATTTTATGTATATTATATATTTTATTTTATATTATAATATATTATATAAATATTATAATATATATATAATATAATTTATATTATATTATTATATATATAATATTATATTATATAATAATATATATAATAATATATATATAATATAATTTATATTATATTATTATATTATTTTATATATATATTACATATTTTATTTTTTTATTATATATATTTCTTTATTTTTACCGATTGTCAACAACTATGAAAACTACACGCAAGACTCGGATATTCGATATTCGATATTTTCGATTCCAAGCCGAGGGTCAATTAGGGAGAATTTAGTGTATCTCTATTTTCTGTGATTTCTAATCTAATAAATGAGTAATCAATGCATTTTACCCGTTTAAAGAAATATAACAAATCATCGTGATATCGAATCGAGTCCTCCTTCGCCACCCTTGTAAAATGAGATTTATTTGAAAAGCGAAATTACTTTCCGTAGAATCCAATATGATAGGAAACGTTCTGTTGACGGAGCCTGAAATAGAGCGGCACGGGGATCTTATCATTCGATACGAAACGAGAAAAGATTTTAATTCGCGGCAGTAAAACGCGAAAGTGGCGCAAATAGAAACACGAGTGGTACAAGGAAAATTGGTTGAAAAATTACGATAAAGATAGATAGATAGATAGATAGATAAATGTAGAAACTTCGGCCGATAGTTCCCGTCTCGGTGATCATTTCAGCTTGGACTTTTATTTCTTTTTAACAGTCTTTTCGCAACGACTTTCCAATCGACTTTAATTTCGATCACCTTCACAGTTTTCAATCGGAGGAAACTTCGATCCAGTTGGAGTATAAGACCAGACAACGTATATTCAGTTACGATGACACAGTCGCTTCTCGATTCGAAATTGTTAACGTTGTTACATTAGCGATGTTACACCGCCAGGTTATTTTTTAATCAACGACCAGAAGAAGACGAAAATATTGTCGGAGTCGCTTTTACACTTTTCTCGGTGTTAAAACCTATGCGCGATAACTACGGACTGCTGGTTTTTCACGCATTCGCAGCAAAAATGGACGAACGAGACGGGAGCCCCCGAAAATAATGTCCGCAATGCTAAACGTCGTCGCCGGCAAACATAAATTCCGTGTTAATCTTCGGGCCGTGCATCCGCGGCAGGAATTCGAAATCAAAGGCCGCGCCGTCTTCGCGCCGGCCCGATTCTTTATTAATCAGATAGCCGTTAGGGTCGTCCCGGCGAGCACGGAGGAAGCCCAAAGCTTCGGCTCGAATTAGCGAGCATGCTAAGGAGCGCTCCGCGGCGAATTGGCTACGTGACGGGACTATCATGGCGTCCGATTCGGCCCGGGGGTTGAAAAGAGCCACCGAAGGGGCTGGAGCAACGGAAGAGACAGGGATTAAGTTCCGTCGATACAGCGGGACACGTTATTACCTGGCCGGGAAGGACGGCGCGGCTCGCAAGAAGAATAGGGAATTAGACTGCCGGATCCTGAATTAATCTGAACGAAGGGAGACCGAGCGCGAGATTTAAATGGGAACGCGAGGGAGGGGGAGGGGGACGATTTGTCGTCGGAGGCGACGCCTCCTTAATCGGTATATCGACTGCTCGACCGCGGCCCTGACAAATTGTACATTTTCTCGAACAATTGCGGCGAACAGAGGATAAATCAAATTACAGTTATTCTTTCGGCGAGCTCGATGCGATGCGAATTTAATATATACAGTAATGTCTCTCTAATTGACGCTCAGATTGCGCACAAAAATGGGCAATTTGGGAAAAGGGGATACGATTATTTATAACATTTTAATAATTGTTGACCAGCTGGTAACTATAAAAACGTACTGCAAGGCACGAATAGTCGTATCTTCACTTCTCAAATTGTCCATTTTTGTGCACAATTTGAGCGTCAGTTAGGGAGACATTACTGTACCTGTCTCTTATACACATCTAGATGTGTATAAGAGACAGCAATCTGAGCGTCAATTAGAGAGACATTACTGCTGTCTCTTATACACATCTAGATGTGTATAAGAGACAGCAATCTGAGCGTCAATTAGAGAGACATTACTGCTGTCTCTTATACACATCTAGATGTGTATAAGAGACAGCAATCTGAGCGTCAATTAGAGAGACATTACTGCTGTCTCTTATACACATCTAGATGTGTATAAGAGACAGCAATCTGAGCGTCAATTAGAGAGACATTACTGCTGTCTCTTATACACATCTAGATGTGTATAAGAGACAGCAATCTGAGCGTCAATTAGAGAGACATTACTGCTGTCTCTTATACACATCTAGATGTGTATAAGAGACAGCAATCTGAGCGTCAATTAGAGAGACATTACTGCTGTCTCTTATACACATCTAGATGTGTATAAGAGACAGCAATCTGAGCGTCAATTAGAGAGACATTACTGCTGTCTCTTATACACATCTAGATGTGTATAAGAGACAGCAATCTGAGCGTCAATTAGAGAGACATTACTGCTGTCTCTTATACACATCTAGATGTGTATAAGAGACAGCAATCTGAGCGTCAATTAGAGAGACATTACTGCTGTCTCTTATACACATCTAGATGTGTATAAGAGACAGCAATCTGAGCGTCAATTAGAGAGACATTACTGCTGTCTCTTATACACATCTAGATGTGTATAAGAGACAGCAATCTGAGCGTCAATTAGAGAGACATTACTGCTGTCTCTTATACACATCTAGATGTGTATAAGAGACAGCAATCTGAGCGTCAATTAGAGAGACATTACTGCTGTCTCTTATACACATCTAGATGTGTATAAGAGACAGCTCCCTTACTGACGCTCGGATTGTCCACAAAAATGGACAACTTGGGAAGAGAAGATACGATTATTAGAGCCGTCTAGCTCGTTTTTACAGCTGCTGAGAATTGGTAATTATAAAAACAAGCTGCAAAGCTC